AGTCCCAAATTAAACAAGGCATTCATTGAGAGAAAACTTGGAAATACTATAACAATGGTTCATATTCATGTGATTATCTCGTATTCTTTTCAGTGCTGAGGATCGGGCATGTGCCAGAAAAAGCACACGGATTCTGAGCCATACCCCAGCCCAGGCTTTCATAAACACTAGACAGTGTATTCATGCTATTTGTAACATTAGTATGATATGCTTGGGGTGGGGGCATGACTCAGCGGCAGAATAAATGGCCTTTATCTGTCCTGTAGGTTGGAGAGAGAAAAAAGTAACTCCACCCAATGATTAAAAACACTTCTTTAAGCTTGGTCCAGTGCCCTAGGCCTGGAATATTAGGATCTTGTATCAAGAGCTTGAAGGCAGCCTGAGAAACAGCAAAATAGTGTTTCCCCCTCCCCACAAAAGGGTAGGTGTGGTAGTAGGAGGATCGGGAGTTCAAATCAGAACCCAGCTACATTCACTTCTCTAGATATAACATCATCTTCCTGGTTGTAGGAATGGTTATGTGAAATAACTTCTGCACCCTCAAAATCTTCCAGAAGCAACATCTCAGGACTTGCCAGGTTTTCCTGCACCTCTGCTGAACCGTGCAGACGCAGCAGCATCAGAAGACCCTAGAGGCATTCATTCAAGCTGAAGTGTCCCGAATTTACTGTTTCCCTGCTGGATGATTCTATTGCTCTCAGTGGGAGAGACGCTTTATTTTAGCAGCAGGGCACTTTTGCTTCCCAGTCTTTCAGGTTTGTGGCTTGCTGAATGGGTGGCACAAAATGTTACTGACCCTCTGTCCCCTGTACATAGAAAACGCTAAGTGACTTTGCAGTCCATGACTTCCTCCCCTCAGCGCAGGACTAGACTGAGGAGGGCTGCAGCTCCTCTACAAAGCTGGCCCAGTCAAGCCTGACTCCACAGGCCCCTTGCCTCATGCTCTCCCTGACTCCTCGGTGCCTGCAGGGTAAAGTACAAGCTCATAGCACCAAGCCAGGTCCTTTCTAATCATATCCAGACCTATTGACCAACCCCAGCTTCCATTTGTCCACCCATCCACCGGCATGAAAGTTAGCTACACACAGCAGTTCAATCGCCTGGCATCGTCAGGTGCAAGCAAGCCTCTGACAGACACAGTAAGCCAGATGTGCTAAACAGCTTGCGTGGAGGGACTGGTTAGTCCACCCTGACCTCACAGCAGCCCGTGTGGAGGAACTGGCCACCCTCAGGTTAGAGACCGGGCTGGAGTTCAGGGAACACATCCAACCTCTTCTCCCAGTCAGCCCAGAATGTCCAGCACTCCCCAGGAGCTGGGCCTTCAACATGCCAGGGCCCCACTTCAAGTACCTCCCTATTTCTGCTACTTTCGTCTCACATATTAATTCTAACTTTGTGGTGCTTTGTTGTGTCTGTGGTGGTTTGCATGAAAATGGCCCCATAGGCTCATAGGGAGTGGCACTATTGGGGAGGTCTCAGAAGCTCAAGTCTGGCCAGGGTCTGTCTTCCTTCAGGCTGCCTGCCCATCTGGGTGTAGGGCTCTCAGCTCCTCCTCCAGCACCACAGCTGCCTGCGTGCTGATGTGCTTCCCTACCATAATGGACTAAACCTCTAAAACTGTAAGCCAGCCCCAATTAAATGTATACAGTGATCTGCCTGCATGTATATTTGCAGGCCAGAAGAGGGCACCAGATCTCATTACAGAGGGTTGTGAGACACCATGTGGTTGCTGGGCATTGAACTCAAGACCTTTGGAAGAACAGGCAGTGCTCTTAACTGCTGAGTCAACTCTTCAGCCCCCAGAAGTTCAAGGTTTTATGGTGAGTTCAAGGTCAGCCTGGAATAAATAAAATACTGTCTCAAAAAAGAGAGAGAGAGAGAGAGAAACCAATCTAATTATTCAAAGAATTTCTCAACTTCTTGTAAAAGTATAATGCAGTATTGATAGACAATAGCTTTGGGGGAATAGCTCAGTGTTAAGAGCACTTGTTGTTCTTCCAGAGAACAGGAGGACCCTAGTTAGACTCCTGGCACCCACATGGTAACTCCCATCCATCTGTAACTGCAGCTCCAGGAGACCCACTATCTTCTTTTGGATTTCAAAACTGTTAAGATGCTAGGTAAACGGTTAACATAAGTGACTACATGGCTCCCACAATCCTATCAGGCAGGCAGTCACTTCATACTCTTAGGGACAATGGAGACCCAGAGAAGTTCAAGGCTTCCCAGTTTGCCAAGATACCTGAATGGCATCTTCTGAGCCAGAATCCCATCAAATTAGGAACATTCACAAAAGATTCATTACAGTCCTGGGACAGGCTCAGAGCTCGTGCTCATTACTTACAGCCAATGGCAGGCAGAAAGACAGTGTCCCTGTATATATTCTATATTAATACTGCAGAAGTTTTATCTCCAAAGTTCATAGATGGAACTCATGGCCTGGCAAGTGCTAGGCAAGAACTCTACCAGAAAGGCCCTAGGCCTTGAACTCTCGTGTGTGTGTGTGTGTGTGTGTGTGTGTGTGTGTGTGTGTCTTTTTTAGATAGAACTTACTATGCATCTCAGGTTGGCCTTGAACCTGAAATCCTCCTGCCTCTTCCTCTCTAATGCTGGGTTTACAGATCTGTGCCAGCACACTCAACTTCTGAATGGCATTTCTAAAAGAAGGAATAATTTTTAGGATCATGTCCAATCTAGCTCTGTTCTTTACCAAGATTCACCACCAGGTGGCAGGATGAGACCGTGTTTTGCATATGACAGCAGCATTACCACCCTCACCCCACCCCACACACACTCTCTGCCCACTTACAAACACCCCACAGCTCTTTTTCATAGCAGATCTGATTAAGACAGTTAACATTTCCCCAAAATTATTTTGTGTTCTGTTTTGCTGGGACAGGGTTCCACATAATCAAGGCTACACATAGCTGAGAATTACCTTAAACCACTGACCCTCCTGTCTCTACCTCTCAAGGGATGAGATTATAAGAGCACAAGACATATTACTGGGCTTATGTTGTCGGAGAGATCATACTCAGAATGGGAAGGAAGCACTCTATCTTAGCACTCGGATCCTACCTTTAACATAATAGAAACGGCTAGACTTGCAAAAACCCTTTACTAGAATAATGGGCCTCCAAATATGGGGGTAGCAGTGTCTGCTTGAGGATGTCTCACAAAGGCTCATTTGGATGTCCGAGGCCCTCCAAAGTCCAAAGTTAAAGCTCACTCCCTGGGGTGAAACATTGGGAGACCCTAGTGGAAGGTCCTCAGGTCACTTGGAACATCCCTTTCTCTTTCTGCCTCCAATCAGTCACCGACATGGGTTCCAGCCCACAATGTGCAACCCTTGTCAGAGGGCCAAACCAACAGGACTTTGAACTCAACCATCAACGAATCAAAACTCTTCGTTGAGGCAGTCATGCTGCAACACAGAATGGTGTTGGATTCACAGTCCTCCTGCCTCCATCTCCCAGGCACTGGGATTAGCTGTGTGTGCAAGCACACCCAGTCAGTGGTCTGGGCCTTTTGTAGTACAGATGCAAAACTGAAAAGCATGCCCAGGAGTGGATAAAACCTTTGGCCAATAAAAACTCCACAGTCAGCAGAGGTTGAACTCCTTCTCAGGGCTGCCTGTGTCCTATAAGGGATCCACACTTCCTTTTTAAGTATGCAAATGAACCAATCATCTTCAATACCAGACATCTTCAATCCTGGGCCTAGGGAATAAAGAAGTTGCACCTCTGCTGACGGGGTACCCTTAAAGCTGGTTTAGGTCTCCCCCAAGCACTCTGTAGTAATTTTACTTTCTAGGTCCTTTCCCACAGGCCCTATGATGTAAATGTCTTTGGACAACAAAGCTCAAAAATAGCTATTTGCCAGGCATGGAAGTGTGGGACCCATCAATCTGGATCCCAGCACCTGGGACTGTGACTTTGAGGCCAGCCTGGGCTACAGAGCAAGCTCTCATCTAAGCAAATTTATAACAGCTAGTCCAAAGGCTGCCCTGGCTTCTGCTTGCAAACCCAACTGTGCAACCATTCATCTGCCGGCCCTCTCCAGGATTGGTGGTGAGAGGGAACATTTCCCAAAGGGTTATTTCCTATTCCAAGCACCAATTCAGAGCTATAACACGGTCTAGGAAAATATGCAGAGAACAATTTATAATTTACACACACGTGGGCACACTTGTCTATGTAAGGTGATATTACTGAATGTTCTTATAAAGCAAGACTTGTACAATGAAGTAAAATTGTCTGGGTGTTTGACAGGATGAGAAAGGAACACGGCTCTTGTAGCTCTGACAGCTATGTGCTGATTCGATCCACGAGCTGCTCGGAGCTCTACCCTAAAAATAAATACAATGGCCATCATTAAAATCTCTCTGAAGAAGCATCATCCTGGGTTTGACAGGTACTGAGCTGCACATTTCTAATTCATTCCTAGGAAATAAAAGACTCAAGACATGTAATGTTCTCTAACAAAGAATTGCATCTACAAGCACTCTGTTGGAAAGGAGACAGAAACAATTTAAAATACACAGATGATATGGGGTAATAAAATTGTTTCATAATGTAAAACCTTTAAGCAATTCTAGTGGCCACAGTAATTCCTTATCTCCAGAGCCTAGCAGCACATAGTAGACACTCAATAAAAAAATCTTTTCAATGAGTGGTGTGGTAAACACTACATCAATGAATCATTTTCATTAGCAATTCAATTTAAGTGAGATAAAGTTTACCTTTTGGGGAGGTATGATGCTGGTGGGACCTTGTACATGCCAAGTACAAATCTGCCATTGAGACACATTGGAAAGCACTCCAGAACTAGGGAAACAAATTCAACAACTTCCATCTCGGCTAGAATCCAATATAACTAACTACTCAGTGCGGACAGAGCCAGTAGTCTTTGGAATTCTCTGGGTGAATGGCAGAGCACTGGTAGACAAGCACCCCTCCTGACACGGTCACCCACCAGAGGGACTCCATCTGGGCCCTTACCTCCTCCTTCCTCTCTTCCGGACTGGCCGCCCCATTGAGATTCATGGGGAAATGGCTGTCACTGCTTTCTCCTCCCTCATCACCGGCCGTGGTGCGCACAGTATCCTGCAGGGGCACGGGTCCCAGCTGCCTGTGGGCAGCATCCTCTGTCCTTTCTTCACTGTCCGCTGAACTGAGGGACAGCACACTTACACTACTGGGACATTTAGTACTCCCTGGGCTCTGAGGGCTTTGGGGCTTGGGCGTGGTGGGCCTCAGAGGGGTGGGAAGCTGCACAGGGTCAAAGGGAAGCTGGCTGCCAGCAGTTGCCTCATTGGAGGCTTGGCTCAACCCTTCTGGGTCTGTGAGACTTGGTGAGGGACTGCGGGCACGAGGTTCATCTTTTCCCAGGGGCTGAGCACTTTTGGTTTCCAGGGGGAATACTGCAGTGTCCACATCTAGGTGGGGTTCTTGAGCTACACTGGGTGTAACAGTACATAGTGCCGGGACACAGGGTGTGGACAAAGGGCCACCACGCCTGGAATCTGGCTCCACGCTGCTGCTGGTGCGGCGCGAGTAGTCATCGTGTAGCTTGCTGCGTGGCCCCAGTGGTGGATTCACATCCCCTGGGCCGGGGCTAGAGGCTGCACTCCTGGGGGCCTCCCTCTTCCAGGCCGCATCCTTGACGTTGCTCACCAGTCTTAAGACTCGGTCAAAGTCCTTGGCGCGGATGGGGCTCCTCCAGCGTCTGGTCCTCCTCTGGGAGCCACCGGGCTTCTCTGAGTCAGTGGATGAGCTGCTAAGGGTCCTGGGGGGAACCTGCCTGTCGCCTGGCAGTTCTGTGAGGTTGGATGCAGACTTGCGCTTGAAGGAGCTCTTCAGGACGCTCAAGCTGTCAATGCTCTTGCTTCTGCGTGGTTGAGGGACAGCGCCACTGGGCTCAGGGTTGCTCACGTGGATCTCACACAGGGCGGGCTCCGGTGCTGGCTGCCGCCCCAGGTCCATCAGGCTGATGCGGCCTAGGCCATAGGCCCTGCGAATGCTGCGTGAACGGTGCGTGCTCCTCTGGAAGGCATCCTCCGTGTCCTCAGGATCCGAACAGTCAGACCCAGTCCCATCCCCTGCAGGCCCTAAGGATGGGTACCTGCGCAAGCCCTTTCCCAAGATAGTGATGGTGCCATTGGGAGCAGTCCTTCCGGGGTCTCCTGATGGTTCTTCCTTGGAAATATCTGCCGCCTCCCGGTTCTGAATTCCTTGAAGGACAGAGGATTTTAGTCTTTTAAAAGATCCCATTTTACGGAAGGAGGCCAGGGCATTCCACGTGGAGGAATTCCCCACGAGAACCACCGAGCGAGGCCTCTCCGAGTGGTCATTCATCCTCTTCCGACTCCCAGAGAAAAGACGCACCAGCTTGGAAGGGCTGGGCCTGATTTCCACAGCCTCCGGGTCGCTGCTGGGGCTGCTTTTGCAGTTTCCATTCTGACATACTGAGGATGTTACCATTTTGGGGGCCTTCGGGTTGGAGGCTGAACAAGTGGCTGTGGCACCCTGCCCATGGCCATCCTGGGCTGTTGTCATGTTCTTGGGGTGGGCAGCCTGGTTCAGACCCCCATTCAAGCCCGTGACCGGGGGTCCCAGCTCCAGACCTTCATCTCCAAGGACGCCAGCCTGGCTTTCACATCTGCTGTGTACATCTGGATCCGTAGTCACAGCTACTGCCTGCAGCACAAAACAAAGCCGGCATTTAACCATTGTCCCCAAGGAGGCGCCTCTATAGAGGCTGATCGTTCAACCTAACAACTGCTAATGGAAGAAAAAGGAACACCCCAGGACAAGGCTGATTAATTAAAGAATTACTTTAAAATTTACTTTTCATCAAAGAATGGAAGGAATGCAAATATATATATTCCTAACACGAGAAATGAAAAGGACAGCTAGGGCTGTACATTGAACATAGTAGCAGACTCCTGAAGCCCTGAGTGAATGCTGGCACAGAAATGGCGAGACCTTGTTCTCTGTGTGAACTGGGAGGAGTCTTTTATTATCAAACACTGACCCCACAGCAACTTCCAAGAATTCCTGCTGAAGCACCAGCCTGCAAGGCAGCCACAATGCAGGGAGCTGGGTTAGTGGCCTCCAGGGAATTCTGACAGAGGTCAAGTGTCTCGGGAAGGCTATAACATACCTCAGAATCCCAACTGCGAGAGACATACAGTGTTACAGGGACTCAGGGCCCAACACACCGAGCCAGGGAAGCTTGAGGAAGAGTTCTGTGCAGAAGAAACCACCAAGTGATGTGAAGGCTCATGGGAGTATCGGATGCTCAGACACAGGCATTAATAAAATACCTTCTTCCCTCTGGCATCCAAACCCCTGGACACACCTGCGCCCATTCCCCCCCCCCCCCCCCGCTCTTGCCCATGCCTACCCACAGCACTACGTACTTCCCAAAAGTGAAAACACGCATCTTTGATGTTTGCTATCAGACAAGTCTGGCTCAGCCTTCCTCAGTCTTCACTGGGTGGCTTAAATGTCATGGCCATTCTAGTCCCAATAAATAAATTAATAATTGTGTGCCAGATCATGAAAGGGCATTGTTCTGGCAGTGCTTACACTGAGGTCAAGTGTAGATATGGGCTCTGTGCTGAGGTCTTTACGCACAGCATCACTGAGCATCCTACAAGTTTGAGGCCATCAGAATAAACTCTGCTGTACAGACAGACAACTGCATGGCCATACAGGCAGGGGAGGCATTTTTCTGGTGGTCCTGCTGCTGTCCTCTCGAAGCTTGCATTAAACTAATGCATAGGGAGATGGAGGCACAGCTGGGATCTGCACTCTGTGCATTTGACTCCGATTCCAGTACCGCCTGACCTCAACAAATCAAATCCCAGCTGCTTTTAAGATTCCAGTCAAGGTCATTACCTCCTAGAAACAGTCAAGGCAGGAAGAGGAAACGGTAGAGAGAATCCAGGGTTAGATTTTATTTAGCTTACCGTTTCGAGTTGAATTTGATCTTATTTGAAAAGCAGTATGTTCTACCTGCACCTGCACACACACTTTCTTTTCCTTTCGGCCCTTGTATGGTGTCCAATGAGGAAGGATCGCCAGGGAGAGCCAGAGGAAAGCAGATTAAGGGTCCATGCCACCTGGGATGAGGGAGCCCAGCCCCCACTGACCCAGCCTGTCAGCACTTTACTAATAGGAATACTGATGGCCTACTGGGCCCCCTGCAGTGCAGAATTCTAATGAAGAGGGCAGCCTGTGAGAGCTTGGGGGTGGAGAGGAGCTGTGGGTTGCCTGTGAAGTCTTGAAACCTCTCCCTGAGACTGGAGGTGAAATCTGTAACTGTCTGACAAGGGGCAAGAGTTATGAGATCCACCTATCTCCATCCTCAGCAACATGGGAGTGTACTTATTTCCACACCTTAGAATCCTAAATAAAGCAGACAGTGAAGTATCCAAGTCCATTCACAGGCAAGAACTGACGGCAGACTCAGTAGTAATAATGGTCCTGCTTGTGTGGTCCTGCCTGATAGTGTGGCTGAAGTTAGTGACACCAGCAGAGGGCACCACAAGACCCTTTTAGCCCAGAATAAACCCTGTGTTAAGGGGACCCTTAGGGCTCAAGGGATGCAGAGAAGCTGTTGGGTAGTTTGAAAATTCGCCTTGGAAGACACAGGGCTAGGCTGAGATGCTTGACCCACTACTGTCACACAATCGCCAATAAGCCACCTCAGAAACCTGTGCTTCGGGCCATCTATAAAATAAGAGGCAACTAACTATCAATCAACTCATTAGTCACGATCCCGCACTGGGTGCAAGCGGCAGGGCAGGCCCCATAAGGAGTTCAAGATGGTGAGAGGAAGCTGGCATGTGCAAAGGGCAGCTGGGAACACAGTACGCCTGGGAGGCAGCGAATGAAGGTGAATGGTCTCAACTCCCAGGCAAAAGTTGGGGAAGTCCTTAACAAACTGGATAGGGCAAGCACAACAGGGTTGCTCAGTGCAGTAAGTGCTGAGAATCATGGGAAATGGGGCCAGACATCTACATACCCTGCCTGCACATAAAACCTAACCATTCTCCAAGACCAACTGCAGGGGTCACTTTCTCTAGGGGGTCTCTTCTAGTTCCCCTAAAATGAGCAAGATTCCTTATTCTGTGCTTCTACAGGACTGAAGTCTTACCACATGTCCAAGGCCTAGCCATACTCTGGTAATATGAACAGATCTATGTACTTTTGTGGCGTGAGAACTGTGTGATGGTACACTTAAGCTTATTTAAGATCTTCTTGATACGAAGCTGTATCAGTTTTCCTGACTGCATCTTTAGCCAGGTGACAGATCATCACAACATTGTTGTAGTTTTATTGTCTGTGTTTTAACTGGTGATTAAATCGAGAGCCTCCCACATGCTAGGCAAGCCTTACACCAGTGAACTATATCCAAGCCCTCTTTTGCTTTCATTGATGCTGTTTTGGTGTTATTTGTTTGCTTTACTACCTTTTACTTTGAGACAGGGTCTCACTGAGTTTGTCTGTAAACAGGCATCCCCCTGCCTCAGTCCCCTTAGTAGCACCATCGGGCACTGTTTACCAGTATTTTCATGCATTAAAGATGCTTACATGTTCGAAACGATAAACATTTAAATTTAGATTTAGATTCAGACTCCATAACACACCCGCAACAACCTGGGAAACTTCCACAAGACTTCTGAAATGACACCCATAGAGGGCTTAGTTTTAGAAGAGTAACAACTTACTGTTTGTTCATGAGCCGAACAAGGCCATTGCTGTTGACTGCTTTAGAGTGGAAAGTGAAAAATCACAGGAAAAAACAAAGGCTTTCCGGGAACCTCTGAGTAGCACACCAAGTTGCATTATTTAGAACTGCTGCCTTGACCTCCATTAGCTAACAAGGGCTGCGATTCAATTACTGGCTTTATGGCCAGCCTTCTCAATCATGGGAGCACTTCCAGAGACACTTATGAAGAGAGCTACAAGAAAGAATTTGGGATGGGAATATTGTGAAATCCAGTTGCCCACAAGCTGGACTCTGGGGTCAATGAACTTTACAATGGAATATTTCTCCCCACTTGTAATGAGAATTCTCTAAAAGCAGCTGTGACCAGCAAACTTAAATTAGAACTTAAGTTTGAAAATCAGCGATATAAACCAATAAGCCCACTGATTAAATGTCAATTGCAGAAAATGTGAGACTGGTAGAAAATGCACTGAAACCAGAAACGTTAATAGAGTAAAAGTACAGACCAGCGCTACAGGGTTACGGATACTGCCTGTGAGCATAGCGGATGGACGCCCTTATGAAACCAGTGAGACTGAGCACTACTGTGCAACACGCACGTCCCCCATCCATTTCTGTGTTTTCTGGTATGTTCAGACAAATGTGACCCAAAGGAATATTCCAAAAGTAGGCAATTCATAGGCTTTTCTTTGCCTTTCACACCGTCCTTCTCTGTCCTGCCCAGGACACAAATCATCTCTGTCCGGCTTATCCACGCCATACACACTACCTCCCCTCCATTAGTCATTCAGTAGCCATCAGAGTGGTTGTCGTGGCATTGCAGTGGTGGGTTCAAACAATCCTTGTTTTACTTAATTCCTCCCAAAGCACAAAAGGAGAGATGCTGGCAACTCAAACATGCCAACGAAAGCACCTCCCTTACGCTATCTTTACGTCATCCACCAGGAGTCTTGGTTGTTAGATGGGGGTGGGGACCGCAAGGAGAGTAGTGGGTAAAACACAACAGACAGGCATGGATTCCCTAGTCCAGCACTGTCACTCACTGGCCAGAACCTAGAGACAATCTCACTACTTCCTCCCCTGGTCTCCATGGTCACCAAGTCTCAGAGACATCCCTGCCTTGCTCCAGTAGTGCGGAGCAGCACACTACCTTATCGATAGCCTGAGGCGCCTTCCTCCTGGACAAGTTGGCTCCTGGCCACCTCCCATCTTACAGCCCAGCTCACCCCTGCCCCTCCCCCTTCACTTTGTCACCAGTGTACTTCCTGATCTGCAGATGGAGTTGTCACTGAACACCATGTCATTGGCTGCTCAACACTCCGGACCTCACTCCAGCCAAGTTCCATTTTTGTTTAGGTTTTGTGGAGCTTATTAAAAAAACAAAAGGGACAAAAATTCCAGTGCTTTGTGCAAGCTAGGCAAGCTCTTTCTCCTCCTCTGGAGTACATCTCTAGCTCACAGACTCCCCTAGTGCTGGTCCTCTTCTGCGTTCAGATTCTCTCCTGTGGGTGTTGTTTTGGCTGCAGGGGATCACAATTCCTAGCCACCATCACTAAAGGCATCTGAGGGGTCTGGTCAGTGGGAACTAAATGTGGGAGGCGACTTGAGAGTGGAGAGGAAGGAGGCCCCAGGACTTCTGTGGGTAGCATTTGTCTTTGCTTTGGATATGCCCTATTATATCTCAGATCCTGTCAGGTGGTCCCAGTTCCTGGGTTCAAGTGACTGTCCCTTCCCTCCTCCAGCCTGGGGGTCAGCAGCACATATGCCACTTTCCCAACTGCACACATATAACCCTCCCTGTGTTGGAGTCTCTGTTTGAAACACCTGGAGGAAGTTCTCTTCTCCTGTTCAATAGGCACCTGCTTTCTGACTTCATTAATGTAACTGTCACCCCGTCCCTGATGCACAGGCCCTTCCTCATTCCCAGCACCTTGCTCCAGCATTCGGCTCCTTCTCT